CCAGCTTATCCTCCATGGGCTCCTCACTGGCTGCAGCAACGGGTCCCAGTCTGCGCCCACTGACAGCCAGCGGCACCTCCAGCAGCGCTGTTGTTGGCGGACTTCGTGCTCTACGCAACAAGGACGCCGTATTCAGGGCGACAACCGCGACTTGCTCCAACTTGCCCGCTTCTCGTCGACGGGTCTTCCACAGTCAAGCTCTGCCACCGCCTAGTGAACTCTTAAAGTATGCCTCTGTCTGTGTTGTTGTTGTTGTTTTTGTTCCACTTAAATAGCCGTCGCGGTCCTCTGAAGGGAAAAGTTATTATTGGCAAAAATAATGTCTCCTTTGTAGCGCCCGTGGTCGACTCAGCGTCTCCGATGCCGTGCCCCACTTCTCCCCACTGGCAGTTGGCACCTCTGCAACCGGCATCCGCGCCAGTCGCATGGATACCATTTCTATGGATGCGGCAACTTCGCGACGAGCTCTTACGTCGGAAGCTGGGGACATGACCTCTCCTGTGTCTCCATCCTCCTCGTCTCTACTTATTGATTCGGGTGTTATGGCCCCAGCAACTTCCGCAGCCGCTGCTGACGCTAGTTTGCACTCCAATAACACAGATTCAGGTATTGTGCCATTGTGTCTGATTTTGTGGTCCCCTTGGAGCACAGTTTAGCCATATCGTGAATTAAGCCTTTTTCAACTAGGAGGCACCTGAGTCGATGACGATCGTGTGCAAGTTATGACCCTCGGCGTTCGTTATTACCTGATAGTGTATTGTACATGGGTCTTCCTAATGAGCGTATTTCTCCCCGCACTTGCTTGTTTGTTCGCGTTTCCAACGCGCGAGTAACAACGTGATATTTGCTGTCATGCAGACCCTTCACTGTCATTTAAAGTGCCAAGACGTACGAAAATCAGACGCAGCTGTTAATTCTAAGCCCTCACACCTTCAACTGCAAAATGTCTGTAATTTCTGGGGCACACATTTAGAGGTATGAGAGAGAGAGCGATGCGCTTTCTTATAAAGAGATCATTCCAAGCTCTTCAGCAAAAACGCCCTCCATTAACAAGGAATAAAATTAGGCTCACAAACTCACAAAACCGGGAAATCAAAAGCAATCTGTAATCGCCAAGGACTGCCACTGTTGACATCGTGGATAAATGTCCCTCGAAAATTCGTCAAACATAGGCCAAATTGGACTGCTTCCAAAGCAACGCTAGCGTCGTGCATTGACAACCTCATTGTACTTCAAATAAACAAAGGAGATAATGGGCGAAGTAGCCTTACCGACGTAGATATAAGAAAAATTATATGCGAATGGAGGGAAGAAGAATTGGCGGCTCATTTTGAAGATCCTGCTGATACAGTTATAGAGTGAACACTCATTAACTTGCAGGGGTTTGCAATCGGGGCTCGGACGGTTGTAGTTCGAATTTTTATAACTGACTGGGAAAAGCACCCGGTTGTTCCTCCACTGTGAGAGCTGTCTTCATCACTGACTTTTCCTGTGACAACTTATCCTTGTGTCGCCAGACTCCGGCCTTTACGTCACTCTGGAACTTAGAGCATGTCGAACGGCGTTGTCCCAGAATAGCGTGTGCCTTAAGCATGACCAGTTTAAGTTCTCCTAATTTTTGGGTCCCGCACCCTGCCGGCTTCCGAGATGGTTGCTCCTGTCTTTTTAGCAAACGCTCAGGTCTGTCGTTTGGATTCCTTTGCCGTTTCTAAAAAAGGTTTTCTTCGGTTTCCAGCTAGCCTGTGTAGTGTTTTTTGGTGGAAATGGCTTGTGTGTCCGCCTAAACAGGGCATGGGAATACGAGCGCCTCGCCCACTTAAAAAAGCGGTCTTGCGACAACCTTTAGGAAGGGTAAATATTTACGTGTCTTAAGCCCAGCATAAGACTGGACTGTACCCTTAAACTGAACCCTAGCCTTACCGTAAATCTAAACCCCACAGTTCACACGAACCTTAGCCCTTAGCATAATTTTGACTCTAACCCAAACTTTAAAGCTAATTTCTCCAGAATTTGGCGTTAAAGCATGTCTTGTGGGCGGTTCCTGTCCCCGGGTCCTGCTTAGGCGGCGATATATGTACTACTTACCGCATTTTTACTATACCGTAAATGCCGGCTCTTTCAGCAGCTGTCAGGCCTATTTGATCTATTTCATCCCCAGAAGAGAATTTAACTAAGGTCAGTGTTGTACGGTAAGCGTAATTTGATAATTTACTCCTGTTTTGTGCCCTTGTTTGATCTTTTGGGAAGTCTGAAGCTGTATGCTCCAGGATGCTACGTGGCAGGGTTCTATCCGGAAGAGAGAATATCAAGTTTAACTCGGCGCATTTCCGATGAGTCGATTGAAGGACACATTTTTCGAGCTGTGCAAGCATTAGATTAGTCGGTATTGAGCACTTGTTATCTACTCATCCCCTCACTTACAACCAGGTCTTCTTACATTGTCCGGTTGCTTTTTGTTTAACCCGGCAAAGAGTATAGTGGCCAATTTTCATTTCGTTCGGGCTCCTCTTTGGAATTTCCTAGGCGTACATAGTCGAAGATGTTAAGGACTCTCGTTTATCCTGCCGTGACGTGCGGTACCATGCGGGACCCGCTAAGTAGGGTGTTTTGTTGTTTCTTTCTTTTTACTACGATAACAGTGCCACTGATTACACTTTTTCCTTCTCCTCCTTACAGATCACAGGTCTCAAACGGCGTGTGAAGATGCGTCCAACCGCGGGACGGCTGAAATTAACCTTTCCAGTGACCTTAGTTTTTGGGGTCCTGACCTTGTTGGCTTCCTCTGCGGGAGCGACAGCCTTGGTGACAGTGCTACGAATGAATGCAACCAAGGTTCGTATTTAAGAGCCGTTTCTTTTTACCTGTTGTTGATGCACTTTCAGACAAAATCCGCACGAGTAGTATTCTAAGGACACTAGCACTTGCTGATCCATGACAGTGGGCAGTTATGACATGCACTGCCTTCGCTCGATTTGATTATTCGTAAAATGGTCTTTCTTCCTCTATTCTCACTATCCTACCACTTTACAGCCGTTGGGTTCATGTTATCGGCTGTTTTGAGACAAGCGACTTCATTTTTTAGTTAAAAGGCCTCTCTAGTACAGCTATTTTTGCCGTTGTCTAGTGGCTTCTGGCTTCTAGTACAGTAATGGATTTTGTGCGTGGCTTTAGTCTTGACAGGGCTTCTTTTCGGCTCGGATACTTCGACATCTTATCAAAGTAAGAGCGTTAATTCAGTCCCTTTTACCTAACTTATTTTCAGCTTTTAGCATAGATATGGTGGCAGGAACTGATCTCCCGAATTTACTGGCATTTGCATAATCTTTGCAACTCTGGAGCAAATACAGCTTCGGTGAATGGGTCACATGGTGAAATTGTCTGACACGCGCCTCCCGAAGCAATTATTTTACGGTGCCTTCGATACGGTTGCGTGATTTTGAGGGCAGAATAAGATTAGAGCATATACCTTTGACGCCACACTGACGTATCTGTGCACCAACCAGGAGTCCTGGAAATAACGCAGAGCCGGCAAGAATAACAAACTGCGGTAAAAAACCGTGCAGTAACCACTGAAACCAATCGGCTATAGTAGACTAAGGAGAAGCATCAAGAGGGCAAAACTGGAGTATCGAGGAACAGCATTGTTTCATGCAACTAGCCGTGGCTTTCCTGACACATTTACGATTCGCATTGGTCTTGTCGGACACATTCGCATGCAGCGCAGCCGTATTAGTGAAAACAGTGAGTGTCGGGGAACATCGCAAACGTCTTCCAGTACTTTAAACGGACACCAGGAGCGCATCGCTTGGATGCCCTCGTATCTAACTCCCTATATCCAACTTTTAGTGTCACACGGCCCGTCATGGCGTGGCGACCATTAAATAAATAAGCCTTCTTGTCACCACTCTCTTGCGGTTCGGTTTTTGAGCCAAAGCGCCTCGAAAAAACATCCAAGCGTCTGTTGGGGAGCCGCCAGTACTTAAATGATTTCAAAATACACCAAAACGCCCGCAAGGTCATCGTGGCCGTCTAGGTCAAGCATGATCGCAGACTTACTAAATACTCCAACCTTTGAGGTTTATTTTAAACTATTGAAACTTTATTGCGAAAGCCATTTGTCGCCCAAACCACAGGCTGAGTCTAGCAAGGCTGGCCACCGTTGATTATGACGGGCGAACCGCAGATTCAGACCCACGCCAGTCACGGGAAGGTTTTAGTACAGCCAACACTCTAGCCCATTGAGCCATCGACATCCACTAGGAGCCGGAAGTTTAATCAAGCTTGTGTCGCTTTACCCGCTTAGCCTACTTTAACGTATAATATCAACCCATTCGTATACAGTAAGCTGACTGCCCAAGCAGGATTTCTTAAACCATCAATCTGGAATCCATCCAGGCACAATTGATGACAGGAGTCGGCAAGCCATTGACGTAATGGGAGAAGGTAAAACAGATGAGACCGACTCTGGGATCTGGTTTCTTGCAACCACCCAGGGCCTATTTTCCTTACTATAATCAATCTGAGGAGCTTGAAGTCATCGCTGCAAGCAAATACCCAAGGCAGTGGAAGTTTTCCAGCTGGCGGGCTAACACAGTCTCGTTCAGAGCTCAGGGTCACGCACTTAGATTTTGTGACACATGTGGTATATGAGGCCCGCGCCCCTGTCAGTTAATGCACTCAGTCTCATCTCCACCCGTCTTCACCTCGTATTATTGGAACACGCGGAGGTGAGAGAGAGTGGGGGGTTTGTTCCGTAAAAGTCTCTCACGCACACACCAATCGACCTCACGTGTAATCCGCCGTCGCCGTCCCTTGTCGATTTCAATGAAGTATCGTACTTTTGAAATGTGTGCCTTCCTTTGAGCGAATGTCTTCTGGGTTTCTTTGTGTCCTTATGCTTTGACCCGCGCCTGGTACTTTTAATTAACGCGAACTGTGAGCCTGCTCGACCGTTTTTCCCAAAGCCAGTACGGGAGAGAGGAAGATAAAGCAATCGACCATACAGAGAGCTGTATTCACAAAAAGCAAGTCGCTCTCACAACGGCTGCGTGGATTTATTGATCCGCGACATGACATTATCAGATCTGACGACACATCGATAGGCACAGTGCGCGCCCGCGTGGCAACTGGCGCGCAGGCGCCGTTCTTTGCAATGACTAATCGTGGGAACGGATGCATTCCCAACACCCTACTGGTCGGGCCATTTTCTTCGTATCTGAGGTTTTCGTTCAAAGTAACTGTTATGACCCGCGCCTGGTACTTTTAATTAACGTGAACTGTCAGCTTGCCCGACCGTTGTTCCCAAAGCCAGCTTGGTGAGAAAGTGTCGGCGACATGGACTTATCAGATCTGAAGACCGATCGATAGCCACAGTGCGCGCCCGCGTGGCAGCTGACGCAGGCGCCGTTCTTTGCGACGACTCATCGTGGGAATGAAGGCATTCCCAACACCTCACGTTTAACCCTACTGGTCGGGCCAGTTCCTTTGCATCTGAAACCGTCGTGGTGACAGAGACGACTACTCTCAATTTTCTTTTTTTTGTTTTCAGGCATGAAACCCTTGCTGGCGCCTCTGGTGAGTTCTCCTTTCCTCGTAGTTTTGTCAACACTTTAGAATGTGACACCGGGTTCTACTTGTTGGCGTCGCTGTTGATCTGTTTGCGCATGGTTTGTCGTCATTGCAAGGGGGCGAATTTATCGGTTTGCAGGGCATTGCACTTACTATTATACCTTTTTTAAACTATCCATGCGCAAACACAACCAACCAATTTTGTCCTACGTAGACTAAAATGTTAACCTATGCGATACACTATTTTGCCGTATATTTTTAAATGCCTTACCAGGACCCTGAGGTGTCACGTTTTCTTCGTTCTGATCCTATTTCTTAGTGAACAACGGAGTTTCCTCCATTACAGTTCTTGCGACTGCCAGAGCTTTAGGCTTGAGCGCTGTATTTTCGCTATACTATTCTTGCAATCTGGAGTTGCAGAGTTTTTTTTTTCTTTTCGAACGTCATCTCTACGCTTCCACCTTAACTGCTTAGAAGAGCACTGACAATAGCCAGCTGTCTGTCCACTCACCCCTCAGGGGTAATTCTGTCATCTCCCCCGATATTGTCCGTGGTAAATATGAAATTACCATAGCAAACTCGAGATATTTTGGTGAACGTAGCTAGTAGTTACTTCGAGCGATAACCTCACAGCGGGTGTAAGATTTCTAGAATACTAGCTAACCCTTGTAGCCCCCCTGATCATGTGTTATGTGAACGGCGCTATTTCCCTCACCAGTGCCCGTCAGGTCTAGTGAAACGTACTGACCCGTTTTTTACTGGCATAATTCTATGCAGTCGATCTAACAGCCATTTCACAGGTTATGCGTTGGGTATAACGTCTTTTTGAGCAGAGTGAGTGCAGCTGAAACATGTGACAAAGACGTTGAAATATGATATGGAACAGGTGGATGTAAGATTTAAAAACCACCACCGATCAAGATGCAGCAAACGCGTTCTCGAGTTGGAGAATTAGAGACACCCTGTTGTGTTGCCTTTATGATTAGAGCGCGAATAACCTCTACTAGCCTGCTGTCCCTCCTCTCTGTCTTTGGCGCTACTGGCATCGTAAGATATAAAAGAAGGGCTCGCATTTAGTTGTAAAATTAACGTTAGCATTATACGACAGCTGCCCTGGACGGAATTTTGCACGGGGTTTTAATAAGCATAGTTCACCAACCGCCTATTGGAAGAACCCGTATATTTTGTATTGAACTAAAACGTGCAGGCGGGACCAGTTCCTGCATCCCCCCTGTGCAAAAATGGAACTAAAGAAAGTGAGACAGTCGAGTGAGCTGGAAAGGCATTGTGTATGACCGTGGGCAGATTTGTCCATGGGTAATGGTGCAGAGAATTGCCAATTTCCCGGACGAGGTCATCTAGTGTCGAAGCTTGTTCCACCGCCAGTGAAAGGTTTAAAAGTAACGAAACGCACTTGTCCCGCTCTTCCTTGAGTCCCATTCTCGGGTCTTGACAGGAGCCGGACAGCGGCTAGTATTCTACAAAGATATTATTGCTGACAAGGACCAGGTTTATTACACCTTTGCGTCTTAGTTCTGTAAGGGTCTGATCTTCAGACGCCAGACTTCTTACCATCCCCATGATTGAAATACCTAAGTGTTTCTGTTCGTTTTCAAATCTGACAGTGTAAAGACACTGAGAAGAAGAAGATGTAGACGTGATCTCTCGGACAAGAACTTTATTTGTCTGACGTTTCGGATTCCAGCTCGAACCCATCTTCAGAGACAGCCTCGCATAATGGTGATTCGTACACAGCAATTAGACACCAATGCCGGTGGGCCAGGTGGCCGAACAATCATTACGCCACCCTCCAACACGGATGATGATGAAATTTCAGCAGATAACGATCCACATGCCGGCCATCAATTACTTAGTTTGCCAGAGGGTGATTGATGGCCTGTCTAAGGCTTCTTCGTAGTCAGGGGGTTGCAGTACTCATGGGATTTAATCGTCAGGCTACTGCATACACCTGTAACAATTAACGGCTTCCCTTCACCTGTTGAAATTCCTCCCCCCCCGTATTGAAGGTTAGCGTGATGATTGTTCGGCTACCTGACTCATCGGAATTGGTGTGGGAAAGTGTGTTCGCCTGCACGCCCCCTGAGTGGCTGATTACTTTGGCCAAACGAAATATTAGCATTGTAGATGGGTTGGGGAGGTCATTGCACTTGTGTAAACCATGACTGAAAGAAAAAAACTTGAGCCCATACGTTTGTTACCTCTCACGAGAATTTCGGTCTCATCGAACTTGAATGTGTGGCGCAGTCTCGTCGAATGCCGCCAATCAGTCAATTATTTTACCAGAGAGCAACCATTCTCGATGAAGAGGGAGCCATTAATCGTCATGGCTATACAGTAGCCGAGCGAGTTCATCCTACAACTCGCCATGTACGACTTACCCGTATATGGCGCTGTCTCTGAGGGTGGGTTCGAGCTGGAATCTTTAACGTCCGGCGAACAAAGTTCTTGCCCCAGCGATTGCATCTACTTCTCATCCACAACTTCCTGGAACTCGTATTTTGGCTTGGATCGGCAAGGTGTAACGACACTTGTCGGACGACGTTAGTGTAATTTACCCTCTTCTGTTTTAGGACCGGCACTCAAACGGTGACGATGGGGCCATAGCCCTGTGAACAGAGCGGCGGCGGCAACTTATCCACTCTCGCATCTGAATATGTTCGATCCTCTCTTTTTTTGTTTTTTTCCTCTCCGAAGGCTTTTTTTTAAAGTTAAGCCAAACTGCTACAACAACGGATGTACCTCTTTTATTTTCTCTCTCTTTTTGTTCCCGGTCACATTTACAGGCACACATGTGCGCTTACCCCTGTGACTCATTTGTTTTGTCTATTTTCGCGTCAACGAGAAGGCCGCTTCTCACGCTACACTTCGATCTTCTCTCACTCTATTCCTTTGCCCTTTTACTATTTGCATAACCTGTTGCCTGCGAATTAAACGCCATCCTGCGACTGCCTGGCCTTCTAGTCTGTTTGGTGGTAGGCTAGTTGGTCCGAAGTTTGCAGTAAAAAAGACAGTACCTATTAAACTGGAAGTCTAGGCCTGCCATTCCATACCATTGAGAAGGAGACAACTCGATCGCTGGAACAATACTTTTATTCGCCTGACGTTTCGACATCCGTCGCGGATTTATCATCGGAGACATTTGCAGAAAACGGTAGCAGAAACGGGTCTGCTAATATCTCTGATGATGAATCCGCGACGGATGTCGAAACGTCAGGCGAATAAAAGTATTGTCCCAGCGATCGAGTCGTCTCCTTCTTCTCAACTACTTCCTGGGACTCGCATGTTCGCTTGTATTGACACTCCATATCATCTTAGCCTTGTCATTTATTCCGCCCATAATACTACCGGCGGTTCGACTGTGTCCACAGCTTGCTTCAGTGCAGTCTGGAAGCAAGCGCGGTAACTTGCGACTGTCAATTCCGATTGTGTCCACCATGTGCTCCACAGCATGGCGGTGCAGGGACGGTGGTTTAGGTGTGTACTAGTTTTGAGCGCTAGCAGACTT